TTGCAGGTCCATTTGTAGATCATTTTTTTCTCCAGAAAAAAGTGATTAATTCCTACAATGTTTTAAAAAATATTCTTATCATGACAACTTCATCACCTTTTTGCTAAAGAAACAGTTCTTGTCCTGCTCTTTCTCTCAGTTCTTGCTTTGAAGGAGAACACAGGGATCCCCTTGCTGCCAGCTTCTACGAACCTGCAAATCTGGCCTCTCCTCTCACTCCGTTCTGCATCGTTTCACCCTATCAGTCACCTCTTGTGGGATGGGATGAGCTTCCCTTCTCTCTAGCACATTTTGTCTGTGCATGTTCTCTCTGTATCACATCACTTCGTATTACTCATAACTTTATGAATACACCATCCGTATCAGATGCCCATGATTACGGTTGCTACCAGTTCAGGGTGGCTCTAAACCACCAGCAGCTAAGAGATGGGAGGCTTTGCATTTCTTTAAAGATATGCCAGTAGCCAAGTTGTAAGGTTGTTTTAATAATAATAATTTCAAACATTACAAAGCTGGCCCTTCCCCTCCACCCCCTGGCGCAGTCACCACGGAATGAATGGTTCATTGTTGCAGGAGTCATTTCACTGCACAAGGCAACCTCTGTGCACAATTAGAGTGTGAGAAATGTTCAGCCAGTCATGAAAATTAAATAAAATGATTATCTGAGCATCCCTAAGGGCTTCGGTATAAAAAGTCTTCCTTCACGCAGTTGGGGCTACCTGTTTTCGCTACATAGCCATGGAGTTTTTTAGAGTGAGAACACCCCTAGTGGAAATATTCTAGGGAAATGTGATTGCTGTTGGCATGTTCCAAGCAGGGAGCAATGGGCTGTGCCTGGAATAACGAGGTGAATTATGTGTGCCAGGTCTTGGAGTTTACAGCCAAGCAGCAAAGTGCTAGTGGAACCTTTTGATGAACTATAGGAACATTCAGAAGCCCTGTTTCATGACTTTCCGTAGGGCATGTTCTAGGAAAGCTGAGGTCTGAAGAAGCACACAATAAAATTTACAGCTCTTTAGAGGATAAAACGCAGAGAGGGAGGAATTTATCTGAGCATAGGAGGCTGTAAGAGAAACAGGGAAAAATTTACAAGAACTTCCTGACAGTGAACTGCATTACAGGTAATATAAGGTTATTCCTAAAACAAAACACCAGAAAAAGTCTAGTGAGGAACGTTCCTTTATTGGTCACTTTCTACTTCTAACTTCTTTATTTTGACATGTTATGAGAGAAGGGCAATGCTTTCTTACTAGCCAATCAGCAAGCATGTGAAAAGGCCATTTTCCTTTGAAAACATTCCCATGAAAACCTTTCTTTTTCACATATAGGCTCTCCACCAGTACCCTCTGGTAAGAAGCATGCTCAGAAACCAGTCAGTTTATGGAACCATCTGAATTCCTGACTGAACCGTGTAGTCGGTGGCAAGCAATCAGCGTAAGTTGTTTAAGAGAAAAACACCCTGTGAAATAGGAAATTCTGCACCGGACAGTTCTGCTCGGACTGAGGCTGGAAGGAGACGGAGGCTGTTTATGTGACTGTATCGACGCAACACAGGACAGGAACTAACAGAGGAAGCAGGGAATAAATTCTCTCCAGAAAGGCGGGTCAGCTGCTAAGATACAGATCCGTAGTCTTGAAACTGTGACTTGGGACCAGCTGAAAGGAATTCATTTTCACAGAGTATAGCTGGGTTTTGAAGTCATTGCTGATTAGTTTTAGTAATAATAATGGCATCTGTTAGCATAATCTCTTAAGAGTTCATTTCTTCACATGTCTTTTTAAAGAAATATTAATTCATTAATATTAATTAAATATAATATAAAAAATAAATATAATTTCATTAAAAAATTTTTGTGATGCTCTCTCTAAAATACCAAAGAAGAATATTTTTGCAACTACTGCTTTGTGTATTTTGAGTCTCATGCATGATTTATCACTTACTAAATTTGAAATCTAAATTATGGAGTTGGCTATAGTTATTGCCAGAAAGCAAAATCTGCAGTGCAGGAAATGAGCAAAGAGGTTATCACCATCTTTCTAAGTTTCTACGTTATCGTCTCTTAAGTTTCTGCCTTTATAGGAACAATGTTTGTATTGTGAGCTACTTCCAACTTTGCAATCAACAGATGCAACCCCCAATAGAAAAAAGTGTTGTCATTCATCTATAATCGGGACCTTCTTTTTATTGCAAGTTATTCCAACTTTGCAGGCAGTGGAACCTAACCAACTATAGTAAAAGTGCTGTCATTCATCCATAAGTGGGACAGTACTTTCATGGTAAGTTATCCCAACGTTGCAGTCAATGGAAACGAACCAGCTACAGTAAGTGTTGTCAGCCATCAAAAATAGAAGAGAGAAAAGAGAAAGATGGTGAAAAGACCAAACCCATTCCCAGTGGAGACAGAGGAGAATATTCCCAGGGCTCCATGACACACTTTGCTTTTTCTGACCATGAAGGATAAATTGCAAACAGCAAGGTAGCCTCAGATCAGGTGGTGAGACTTTGTACGACCTTCCAGCTGAAAGAAGCCTAAACTGTCTTCTTTGGCATCACCAGAACTGACAGAAAAGAAGGGATGTGTTGCAATAAGTTACAAACTGCCGGAGTGAAACCTCTGCTGATACGGGGCCAAGCGAGATGTGCAGGCGCGTGCAGAGCTCAGCGTGGTCTCAGAGAGCGCGTGTCACATCGCTAATACCAGTCCTGGAGCAAAGGATTCCAAAGCTAGCTTGGGTATTGGAGACAGCGGTGTAGACACACCCCGTAGAGCAAAAGCTCTTTTAGACAAGAAGCCTCTATTTTTTTTAAGCTCAAAGTGCACCGTAGGCACTTAACAACTATTAGTAATAGCTAAATAATAATGGATCAAATCCAATTAATAATGGACCAAATCCTTGGCTGTGATTGAGGATCTCGCAGCTCACATGCAGTTCTAAGAAAAAAAAAACATCTCAAAACAGCCCTATCAAATGCCAGCTCTGTGCCTGGACTTCCCTTCAGCATAAGATAAAGCAGCAGAGTACAATTTGTTCTAAGACATTAGCAGGGGAGAGCAAAGAACATAATGAATAAATTTTATTGGTAATGCAGAAAAAGAACGCAGACTGGTGGCAAAGACGACCATTAGGGGATAAGAGTATAAAATTAGATGGAAAGTAAGACTGGTGTTTCGCAGCAGTCCTAAATCAACATGCCGTCTCAGAAACCACAAAAGTCAGCAACTGAGTGGAGGTGAATGAAAGGCAAAGGTCAAAACAACAACCATAATTTATCTGACTGCCAGAAAAGCATTTTTACACTTAGTACACAATGAATTGATTTACATTTGATAGACAGTAGTTACACAAAAAAGAGACTTCAGCCCTCACAGAATAGCCTGCAGCAGAATACGAATTCCTTTCGTGATAATCCTAGGGGGAAAAAAACAATCCCTTTTTATTCAAAGATTTTTTACTTAAATATTTGAGTCTATTGGGAACAGACTGAAAGACACATACCGTACTCCACACTCACATCTACGGAGCTTGGGGTTATGGTTTCCTATGCTCTTTGACTGTGTGAGGGGCACTGTTAGCAACCTGGGTGGAGAGACATTTACTGGAAGCTTCAGCTGTTGCTTTCGTTCCTTTTTGGAGAGGCTTGATGGAAGAGCTATAAATTGTTCACTTGTGTAGCAAGGGGCAGGGTACGCCATGAGAAGAAGGGGGTTCCCATTTGTGAGTCAAAGGACTGTGTTTGGTGGCAAAAGGAAACTTGCCTCCTTTTCTGGGGATGTTATTTTGTCTTTTTAAAACTAAACACAAATATCATTCCTTGAAGAAAAGACCATACCGAGTAGTCCTCTGTTCTTCTGCCGAGTCATTGCAATAATTATAAATGTTCCTTTTAGCACTCCTGAAGATTTTTACAGCTAGTAAACTGTCCGTCCCGAGGACGGATGAACAATTCTGCAGAGTTTCATAAATAAAGCTAAAGAGTTCATGGTTTGAAGCTTTTCTCTTAACAGTGCACTGTGCAACACTCCAGCAGTCGCCTGACTCATGGCAACCTGCAATTGGAAATGACTTGGGGGTGAAGGAAGGAAAGAAGAGGACAGGGAGAATATATAACATATACTGGCCAGTATATTTTAACTACCTATGTGAAAGTCTGAACCAAATCTTGTTCAACTAACTGTGACCTCATGGAATTGCTACAGATATCAGTTCTGTGTCTGGTCCAGATCAAAATACATATTTGTGAATTAGACTAACATAATCAGTGATTAAAACAACATATTAAATTAGTTAACTCACTTCTGTTTTCATAATCTTAGATGTTAATAGGAACACACTGACAGAGCTTTTTTTTTTCAGTCTTCCATTTATTTTTGGAAAGCCCTTTGCTATCACCAGAAAGCAAGCATGAACTTTCTCTCTGAACCTGCTTTTTGTTGTAATTCTCTTACTTCCAATATATTTTACATTGTGTTTTCTTTCCTTGTTGCTACTCTATGAAAAAGAATCCAAACAAGTGAAAAGAAACCCTCTTTCTACATATGCAAAAAAACACCACCAACAAGAAAAAAAACAGCACAAACGCCGGACACCTTAATTAAAAAAAAAAAAAACCTTCAAGAAAACAAAAACCACCAGAAAAAAACACTTCCCCGCACTCCAGAAGCCTCTGTGGCTGTCTCTCTTGCATTAAGCTATTTCTAGAGCTTTAAAGACAGAGAAGCGATCTTGCGTAACTGCTGGTGTCCTGGGACACGGATTAGAATAAGGCATGTGAAGATCTCAGCTCCTTTTCTGTCTTAAATGCAAACAGACTTCCCAAAACAACAAAGACTGCAAAATGGAAGAGTGTTTCAGAGGAAATGGGGAAACCTCACTGGGAGCAGATGGACTAGGCTGCCTTTTGAAGCATTTTGGATCTCCCTCCGTGTCTTCAGCACATTAGTCACGCATTCTCCTCCTGACCCTCCATGAAGGTTGATCCACGCTGATGATACGAGATGGACTCAGCTGGGTTTGCTCAGGGTAGGCTGCCAAGCCTCTTGCATCTGACTGATGCTAAACAGAAACACATTTTCTTCAGTTTTATGCCCGGGTGAACCATTTCTGTAGTGTTTAAAAAGTGTTCACTAGTGAGGAAGCAGGACATGAATACTGCTCTCAGACACCAACCACACGAGCTTTTAGCTGGCCCTGTATTGCTTACTGGGGGGACACCCTCACGCAGGAGAGCTTTTGGCCACCTTCTCTTTGTCATCGCAAGAAGGGGGAGAGGTGTGAGGTGACACAGGGGGCAGTGGATGCCACGAGGATCCCCTAAGAGCGACTCAGACACATCCAACGGCGGCTGCCTGAGAACACGCAGGCCAGTTACAGAGGAGTACAGATTACTCAATGCATAATTCAGCACCGTAAATGCCTACATGCCACAAACTCCCGCTGCCACTAGACTACTTTAATTTCTTGACAGTAAGAGCGCTAAATTGACCCGGGGGAAAAAAAAAGGGCGCTTAACTTTTATAATTGATTTCTGCCCTATATCATTTTGGCTCCTTGCCCTCTCCTGTAATGCTAATATGAGTTATTGCAGATTTAATAGTTTGTTACAGATTAATTCAATGGTATTTTTGGCTAAGCTAGTGTCCAGAATGACTTTGCACTTGGTGGCATCTGTGATGCCAGCATGCAAAATGATTCTCCTGGCATTTTTACAGATTCTCTCGTACCCCACAGTATGTCTTCAGAAATCAAGCTAGGACCATATCTGATTTGGCTAAGAATACCAAGTAATATAACACAAGTAGTGATAATCATTTTTTGCTGGAATAAAAGCTTCCAGCTATTATCATTCCCTCTCAGGCAGGCTTGTTGCCCAGGCACACTTTCAATGGTTTTCTTTTTTTTTTTTAATACACTCGTTAACAGTAAAACTTCTTTTAGGCTTGACTAATATGACTGAACAGTCATGTCAGAAGAGTCACATTAGCATCCTGGGCTTTGTCTAGTACAGAGTAACTGGGGTTGCAGATCCTTGTTCCTCTGACACTCCTGCTGAGGTATCTCTGAGAGCTACTCCACTTTGCTACATATCTTAACACTTATATTTGGCTGCCTTTAAAAATGTTTTTTAAGAGTTTTCTTTTCAAAGCTCTGTTTTGGAGGATATTCTGGCAATAGCAAGGTGCCATCATACCAAATATGTTACTCTTTAAGAACCCTTAGATCTCCAAGAATTTCACAGAAGTAATTAAGATAAATGTATTTATTAGATTCAGTTAGGTCTTCCATTTCAGATTGCATTTACGTTGTTGTCAAAGGTACCCACTTAATTGTTAGGAGTATGATGCTGCTTTTCTTCTGATTACTCATCTGCATTTTGTGATTCACCTCAACAGCAACATCTTCATTGACATCATCCCTATGCCAGTAAAAACATGTTAATTTTCTCACTAAATTGGTATTCATTGGCTTCTGGTTTACAGCCTATCCTCTTTTTTGAATTAGAAATTTTTAGCAACTGGCAATTTTTGACTGACTAGCTCTTCTCTCATTGGGTCACTGAAGCCGTTACTTGACAGCGGTTGACCCTGTCTCAGATACCCTGCTGATCCAAGAGGAGGTTATATGCAGTGTCGAATATATGACAGTCAGAGTAAGCAACTAAATTTGTGAAATCCAGATCAGAAAATTTTAAGTATATATATTTTTAAAGTCCTATTTCATTTTTACATCTAAATTCTAGAAACTTATAAAGGAGTTATACCTATATTTGTTTCTAAAATCCTATAATTTTTTAATATCCAAACCCTAGAAAACAATGGTAGTTTGGTAATTTATGAGGAAAGATGAAATCAAGAAATGCAAAACCTCTGTCAGTGAAGCCTGAAAGATGCTTGCTCATTGTTTCCACTAACTTGGGACCAAGGAGAAGGGGTACTTGGGAGTTGACAGAAATTAGCTGTGCACGTACTGGGTTAAAGTTCCGTATACCATGTACTTCAGCCATTGGGAGTATTAAAACTGAAGCATAAATCTGTATTTAGCATTGTCATGGGGTTAGCGAAAGATGTAATGTCAAAAGTGCATGACACTGAAATAACATTCTCAGATTCCTAAAAATCCATCTAGGCCCTGAGGTTCCAAGAGAACGGAAAGGCAACGGGGAGAGTTGCAGAACCAGCGAGCAGTTTACCTGTAGTGTCCACTTAGGGGGCTGCACAGATTAGTTACCTGCCCAGAAATGAGGAACCCCATTTCTACTGCTTTTCTCACATGCTGATTGCTTGCCAAGTACCAACACAGACTCAAAAGCAGGGAGGAAAGCAGGGAGTGGACACAATTTGGTGGCAGAAGTGCTCAAAGCTGGCGCTAGCCTGCCTGAACCTTGGCACATTGAATGCTGCTTTGTGGCTCCAGAGGCCGAGGGGATGTGGTGGCCGCCATCCCAATGTTGCCCCGGGGCTTGTCCTGGCCGGGCAGCCAGCACCCTGCCTCCATTTCCCGGAGCGATGCCCTCCGTGGGCACGTGCTATGGCCTCCCGCGCGCCGGGGGCTGCCCTGGGGCTTCTTGGGAGG